CCCGAGGGTTCGGATCCCACATACAGACCGGTTCCTGCTCACTGGCTGAGCGAGGCACGGGAGCAACACCGAGGGTTGCGATCCCGTTGCCGGTCCCCGGTCTGGTATGGGGGCAACACTGAGGGTTGCGATCCGTTGCCGGACACGGAAAAAGATAAAAGATAAAAAAGAAAAATAAAAATAAAAAAAAAAAGTGTGCATCTTACGATTTTGATTGGGTGACTCTAAAGCAGGATTTCTCAACCTTGGCATTATTGACGTTTTGGGCCACATTATTCTTTGTTGTGGGAGGCTGTCCTATGTCAGATGTCCTCTGCAAGATGAAGATTAATGACTCATTTGAAAAATAAGAAGAGAAAGTTCCAAGCTGAAAGGGTCCAGGGAAACAAGACATTTCCTCAAGAGGATAACTACTCTAATAATAATAATAATATAGAATGTTTAGCAGCATCCCTGGCCTCTACCTGACAGATGCCATTAGCAACCCCCTTTCCCCAACAGTTGCGATAACCAAAAATATCTTCAGACATTGTCAAATAACCTCTGGCAAGTGGGAAGGCAAAATCACCTCTATTTGACAACCCCTCCCCTAAAGGATCAATCTACTCCCTAAGCTGGACAAGAGCATCTTCCATCCCTTCCACCTTCTGCCCTTCCCGTTCTCCTGTCCCCACTCCAAAGAACTGCACAACAGTGGGAAGATTACAAGCTCATCGATACAAAAGAATCATAACTCCTTTTTCATTGTAATAGTCAGAGTAGAGAAGTATATCAGGAAAACCTACAATGGGCGCCTCTTCATTCAGATCTTTCTCCTTTGATAATTCAAAAATTCTTGATTCCATCTTTATTTCTGAAATGTTTTATTCTTTGTCCATTACACAAGACTAGTTACAAGAAGAGATGCCCAGTGAGACTCCAGATTTGCCCAGTTTAATTAATGCTTACGTGAGTGAACCAAGAAAGCCATTAGCCCAGATAAGTTATCAATAAGCTCTGGTATGCATTAAAATCGAGTTATTTTTGTACAGATCTTGAAGAAAGGGCTTGGAACATCTTGGTCCATGTGATCCAAACCCTTTCCTTTTCCTTTCCTTTAATTTCTTTTCCTTTTCTTTGTCTTTTCTCTCCTTCTCTTTTCCCCCTTCCCCCCCTCTTCCTTCCTTCCTTTCTTTCCTTCTTCTTTCCCTCCTTTTCTCCCCCCCTCTCCTGACCTCTCTCTCTGTCTCTCTCTTTCCTTATAGGTATACCCTGTCTTTCTTCTATAAGAACACTAAAGGGTGTGAAAAGCAGAGAAATTATGAAGCATTAATTAGGAAAAATGTAACATGCTTGCTGAAAGGAAAATTATGTTAATGAGTTTAGAAAACATAAACTGTTGTATCATTTGTGCAAATGGTGCAACTGAACCATTGTTGTAACTGTAATAGTAAGAGACCCAGAAAATGTGATTTTTTTTTTTCCTTTTTGTCTTTTTTACTGACCAGTAATGGGATCGCAACCCTCAGTGTTGCGCCCACACCGCGCTCAACCAGTGAGTGGGAACCGGTCTCCACATGGGATCCGAACCCTTGGCGGGAGCGCGGCCGCGCTCCCAAGCGGCGCACTCTCCAGTGCGCCACTGGGCCGGCCCGAAAATGTGATTTATATTTCTTCTACTAACTTCTGATTTAGGATTATTATAAGATCTGTAAGGAAAAAAATCCTCTTGGAGTTGAAGCTAATGAACTGAAATAATCTACAAGAAAGGCAGTTTAATTACTGAATGTTATAAATGAAATAATGTATTTCTACATAAAATTTGAATCTTTTCCCTTTATTTATTTTTGTATGTTCACCAATTAGACAAATGGTGACTAGTATAAGAGCTAAGAATAAGGAAGCTTATCTCCCAGCCCACTTTGCATCTCACTGTGTGACTATGGGGACGTCAATTAATTTCTCTGAACCCCACTCTCCTCATTTGTAAAAGTTAAGGGATTAAACTGATTATCTTTAAGAATTATTCTATCTCCAAAATTTTATGATCATGGGGAAAATCTAACTCAAATCATCTAAAAATGAAAGAAAAAGAAAGCGTAATTCTACAGAATGTAATTACTCTAGCATACATAATTCCTATGCCAGAGCTACAGGGTTATAAAAGCAAAAAAGCTTCTTTATATCAAAGCTGTTGACTATAAAGTAACATGTATTGCTCTTGGAATATTCTTTAAATTAGAATGTCTATGATTAACTTTCAGATGGAATAAACAACTCAGAGAGTCTGCTGGGTACAGGGCTGACAGTGTCAGTTGTTATGTTATGGTGGGGGCTCTTCAACATGAAAGAGGGGGAGGGGTACAGAAGCAAAACAAGTTGGGAACTCCAAGAGCTCAGCCACAAACCTCAGGGAATGGTTCTACAGTGGTGTCTTCATATTTATTCTGGAAGGTCTTCTACTGCAAGTATGTGGGTAACTGTTACTAAAATTCAGCGAAAATAAATCTCAATCTTTATCAGAGAAGGAAAATCCTACTCTGGTCTTATGGGAGCTCTTAAAAAGAATTGCCTTGTCACTCAATGCATCTAGGCTAAGCCCCATCAGAGGAGTCATTTCTTTGAGCCTTTTGTACAGACACTAATTTCAAAGAGTGTGTGTGGGGGGCGGGTTGAACGGACCCAAAGAGGTAGAACTCAAACATTGATTTCCTTTACAGAAACCCTGAATATGTGTCAAACCCCGATGACCTAACATAAAGAAAAGTTTTAGTAATGATTACCTGACTGCAGACTACAAAATAAAATTCAATCATATTTTTAAAAAAATCCAACTTTGGTGTACAGATGTTAATTCTCAAATGTGTAGACCTAGTCATAGCAGACAGGACACTGAAGGGCAAGAAAGTCTCTCGTCTTTAAGTGGAAGCATAGAAATAGTGGTGCTACCTGGAACTGCTAGTGCCTCATTAAGGAAATACATTCTGTCATCTCCCAGACCTTCAAATTCTTGGCTCTGGTTCCTTAGGCACAAAAATCATAGTCTCAACAGCGTTTCTGAAAATGGTTTTGGACTTCCTCTGCATTTCTACAAGGGAATACTTCATTTCTATCATTAGATAGTTTCGAAACCTAAGAGAAAATTCTTCCTAAGTAGTCAAATGCAAACGGTAATTTGTGGAATTTTATTTGGAAGGAAAATACACTGTAAGAGGTAAAACCACAGCAGAAGATTCTCTTGTAATGTAGGAAAGCTAAACTACTCTGGATTTACATCCAACAGACAGACTCAGAAATGAAATGAATCTCTTGAAAATATCCTGCCCTCATTCAATACTAGACCAAATTATGTGTCATGTTCTCTTAAAATTTCTAACACTTTTTAAAAGAATAAAAGAAAAACAAAAATAATCACTTAAATATAAAAATGTACAAAGATCTTTTAAGTCTCTAATGCCCAAGAATCGGCAGACTCCTCAAAAATTGCTAGCACTCTTATTTTTAATGAGCACTTCTTCAAATAGCACTTTCTAAAATGCAGCAGTTTTATCCTAGCTAGTTTCTTTGTTAACCATTATATCGGAACTCAGGCCTAATGATATTACCAGTATTATAGTAAGCTGTGTATTCCAGTCTCCATTTATTTATTATGACTTGTTCTTTTATGTTCTCTTTATGTTGAAAAACATCTCTGTAGTCCTCCTTCGAGACATTCTGCCACACAATGTGATTAAATTTTGTGTAAAGAAAAAGTGCAGAATTGTTTTCATAATGTGGAAATGTGTAGGATGAACTGACAGAAAAAGTAAGAATTTGTAAATCCACTGACATCTCTTTATTAAATATCTTTTCTACTTCAGGATATCTTTGGTTATTCCTCATAGATTGAGAAGTCACGTCATTATTTTTTATTTCCATCATTTTGTTTTTAAATAAATACTATATTTGATTTTAGAGAAAGGTCCTTCCCTCTGCTCTGATAAACAGAATATCAATTAGCACACAGTATGGACACTACAGTGAAGCCTCAAAGTGGACAACTAATACAAAGACATAAAGTGACATCTTTATTGTACATTCATATATTTACTAGGGAGTTAAAGTCTTTCCTTAGAAACTTCTAGAGTCTCTTTCCCTGGAAACTTCTAAGTATTGTTTATACATCTATCTGATAAAGATTATAAAGTTGGAGGTAGAGTAAAAAGTGACAAGAACAACAGTAATAGGTACTCTCCAGTCTATGATTCCATATTTTTTAAATGTTATTTTTACATTTCTTTTATTTAAGAGAAATAGAAATCCAAAAGAATGTCCTGTTTTACATCACATTTCCTCAAATCCCATAGTCTTCAAGCTACTCTTCTAGCATCTTTTTTTTTTCCATATTCTACAGGTAGGAACCCATAAAATATGAAGGAAATAGGTTGTATTAACCAGGGCCAACTTCAGACATTACTAACACTCAAGGTCTTCCCGAACAGGACTCTGGATGATACTAAAGGAAGTGGTAATACGTCAAACAAAAATAAGAAAACATGTTTGATATAGTGCACAACTGCACTTTCCCTGAGGTATGAAGAAACTCAATTCTCTTTAATATTTCCATTTCCTAGAACTCCAAGAATCTATTTCTGAAAAATATCCCATTATTTACATCATTATTCCTATATTCAAAAATCTAGTTTCACATAAAGCAAATATCATTTAAGGGTTATTTTTAAGTAATTCACACGTTTTGAGCATAAATACTGTTTATTACATATAATATTGATTTGGTTCTTTAGTTTTTCTTCATCTTCCTAACAAAGAATATGAAACTTACCCAGAGCAAGAAGGTATTCCTTTCTTTAGAACAGATTCAAAATTAACTATAAAAATCAAGAAGATACGATTTTGCTTCTGTTTTGTTGTGAGGAAGTATTTATGGCATGCTCATTTAAAAAAAATTAAAGTTAAAAGAAACTTTTAAAAGTAAACTTAATGCACAGAGAGATTTTATTTCATAGATAGCCACCATTTACCTGTACATGAATAATCATCAATTCTGATGTATCCAGTTCTGCAGATGCACATGAAAGAACCCGGGGTGTTGACACACATTGTATTCTCACGACAGTAATGGCGCCCTTCGGCACACTCATCAATGTCTGTGAAGAGAAAGTTGCACACAGAGGTCAACAGTGGCCAATATTCTAGAGTTTCTTTATAATTTTCTTTGGTAGGGAGAAGGGAATGGTTACTAATTGAATAGCATTTTTTTTTTCCTTTTTGTCTTTTTTCGTGTCCGGCAACGGATCGCAACCCTCCGTGTTGTGCCCGTACCAGACCGGGACCGGCAACGGGATCGCAACCCTCGGTGCTGCGCCCACACCTCGCTCAGCCAGTGAGCGGGAACCGGTCTGTATGTGGGATCCGAACCCTCGGCGGGAGTGCCGCCGCGCTCCCAAGCGGCGCACTGTAGCAGTGCGCCACTGGGCCGGCCCTTGAATAGCATTTTTTAAAAAGCATTCAAAATATCTCCCTTAATAGGAGTATTTAATGTTCAAATAACAGAAACCAGAAGAGTTTTTTTCCCAACAGCTCTTGCTGGAATTTCAAAGAGGTCTATTTCAACTTGCATCATTCTAAACCTCTTTTGAAATTTTCAGTACATTCATCTACCTGTGTTTGATAAAATGAATCAGAATGCACAGATTGGGCTGCCTTAGCATCTCAAAATGTTCAATCACTGAGCCTACCAAATATTACTTTTTGATTCACTGGCTATTCTGTATACATGGAGAAATCCTGAAAGAGGTAAAGAAAGTATTCAATATACACCAGAGTTTAAATAACTTCACTTAAAGATATGAATCCAATAACATGTAGTTTATTAGAGATACAGCTACCCCAGAAAGTGTCTGAACAGAGATGAAATTACAATATAGAGATATAAATGAGAAGTTGTAAAATAAGATATCATATTGAAGATATTACATAGTAATTTATGCATCAAGTTTTGAGTGTAAAGACCTACTGATGCTAAGTCATAATAGGCACTAGTCCTAATTGTGAAGAATGTAAATTTTGACAATAAAACTGTCCCTGTTTTATAACACTTCTCTGCATGGAACATAAAGCATTTTACAGGTACTTTATCATTATGTAATACTCTTTTAAGGGCCTTAATGCATTGACCAGGCAGGGTATTTCTCATCCAGAAGTCTGCTTTCTAAAATCCTGTGATCAATCCACAAAGTAGCACTGTCCTCATTTGTACTGTTAACAGAAACAGATCAACAATAGGAGACGGCTAGCAGACCCCCAACTACAGAGGCCATGTTATGCATATAATCCCAACTATGTTCTCAGTGCCAAAAGAGAGAGTGTCAAAAGAAATAATCTCAGGAATGTATAGGACTCTTGGCAATCATCTGAGCTAACTATGTATTTTAAAGATGGAATAACTGAGGCCTACAGAGATTCAATTTTCCATTCAATTTCATAGTCAACATAATACATCCCTCTTATCTTAACATCCAAAGTTTTTCCCAATTTGGTCCCTACTCTTCCAGCTTTATATGCTATGACCTTACTCCTTTCTTCCCTCTCAGTGTCTGGCCACATTGAGCTTCTCATCATTCCTTGAACGTGCCTTTGCATATGCTGTTTTCTCTACTCACAACTGCTTCTCCTGCTCTCTTTGACACCACTCCAGTGGGTATTGTCCACCAGTGGATTCATCCTTCAAGAATCTACTTAAACCTCCCTCCTGTGAAAACTTCCCCGAAGTACCAAAATGCTCTCTATGCAGCGCTCCCTTGGGATTTTGTAAATGGTTCCATAATAGATGCATCGGTTGTATTTTTATTAATTTTTGTAAGTTCCTTTCTCCCCAATACACCATACACTCTTCAAGAGTAGGATATATATATTAGAATTTTAAAATTTTGGTTGCCCGTTATATTAATCTCGGGTGCTTTTAAAAAACACTGGTTCTTAGGCTAATTCCCAAACCCCCGGTAGAACATAGGCAATAATTTTTTTTTTAATCTTCTCCATGATGAGTCTACTGCAGGAGTCAATAAAATTTTTCTTTAAAGAGATAGACGGTAAATATTTCAGGCTTTGGGTGTCATAGGCAATACATAAATAAATGAGCCTGGCAGTATTCCAATAAAACTTTATTTACAAAAATGGGTAGTCAGTCAGATTTGGCTCTCAGGCCATAGTTTGATGACTCCTGGGCTAATGCATAAACAGTGTTAAGAATCACTAAGTGTATCACTCATTCTTGTAACCACAATAACTCATAAGGTGTTGAGGATATTATGAAGCAGTAAATGCTACAGAATGAATGAATAAATGCTTCAAGACTAGTTTATAAAGATTTAAGAATGGCTTTCAGATTTTCTGACTTCTAGAATGATACTCTTCTCATGATAACGTGCTACTTCTAAATGTCTGCACTGGTCTTCAAGAAAGTATCACATTCAATTAGAGCCAAAAAATCAAACTACAAGCTCCCTGGGAAATATAATGAAAACTCATTCGTTGGGCTCTTAAGAGTATAATGAGAATCATAATGAGAATCTTAAGATCATAATAATCACATGGGATTATTAATGTGCTCAGTCATCAACACATGACTTTAACCCAGCCCCTCTGATAGTGTGCTACAAAGAGGTGAAAGTTACTGAAAAAAGCCAGTGAATTAGGATTATTTCTGTTAATGTAACATTATTTACAGCCACAAATTAGTGGATAATTTGGTTTATAAACATAAATAGGATAAATTTGTGAAAAGGTAAGTTGGCCTTTTAAATAATATCTCTTACTGTTGTTCATTGTTGGTTCTACATCCCAGAAGGTTGGGAGACACTGACCTGTCCAATTTTCTTTTCTGGATGTTTCATTTTTAAGCTATCATATGGTCAGAGAAAACTCAACATAGGGTCATAAAGCAAAAACAAGAGCCCATTCAATACGACACCTTTCAGGAACTTCAATGATTTGGATCACATAGACATATTAGATTTATGACCATGAGATATAAAGTGTCAGGCCCACCACTTGGAGCAGCGTTGTGAGAGAGAAGAAAGTAAAATACCAAAAAAATACTATCGTAACACTGTAAACCTAATTGTCACTTGTCTTTTTTGATTTCTCATGCCCTATCTTCAGACAAAGAACTCCCCAAAGAACTGCACTTACATACATACTAAAATTGCAAAGTTACATAAATGTCATTTCCATTTCCATGTACAGATACTCACAGGCACAAAAATGGCATGACTTAAAAAGTAAACTAGTGGAAAATCATGCTCAGATTTAGTCCAGAGTGTATTTTAGGTCCAAATCACAATTCAAAAACTTAATGAGTCAAATTCTCACAATTCAACTCAATTAGCTACAAATTTATAGAGAGTCCTCTATGTACAAAGGGCACTTTACTGCATTTTTGGTCAGATATTGATGGCCCTGTGGGGTAGAATGACAACCAAAGGTAGATAGTACCAGGGATAGACTTTGTCTCAATATAACTATCTGCTAAGCAGAAAGAACTGCACAAATGTGAATAGGCTGCCAAATGGAAACATTTAAACAAGTACTGTAAAGACATGCTGTCAAGATTCAAGCAAAGAGTACATTGCTGGACCACGTGGCCCTTAACATCCCTTCCAAACTTAGTACAAAGACAGTTAAAGCATAGACTCTGCCTTAAAAGGGATTATAGTCCAGGAAATGGATGATGATGATCTATGTTTTAAGCCAGAATTTCACAAGCTGCATTCTAGAGAGCAATATCTATAAGAGAGGTTCATGGTTCCTTGAAAACAAAGTATTGCGTGGTCAAGTAAGTTTCAGGACCACCATATACTATAGTTTTCCATACTCCCCTCCTAAAAATTCCCAATTTACATTAGCAAATTGCAAGCTCTGAGATATCTAGTTGTTTTTTTGAAATCTTCATTCATTTATTCAGTAAGTCTGCAATGGACATGCGTTATGTTCCAAGTACTGCATAAAGCAACAAAGACAGACTCTAGCTGAAGAAAATAACACATAAATGACAGTGTTATGAAGTCATGCATACCATGTAACAGAAACATATACAATATGAATTGAATAGGGAGCAACCAATTTAAAAAACAAACAAACACAGTGCTTGTTTTTCTGAATACTTGTTAATGCAAAATGCATTCAGAAATTCGTACCTAGCCCAGTGGCGCACTGCTACAGTGTGCCGCTTGGGAGCGCAGCGGCGCTCCCGCCGAGGGTTTGGATCCCACATACAGACCGGTTCCCGCTCACTGGCTGAGCGAGGTGCGGGAGCAACACTGAGGGTTGTGATCCGTTGCCGGACACGAAAAAAGACAAAAAGGAAAAAAAAAGAAATTCGTACCTAATGATAACAATAATTTTATAACTCTGCCCTTCTCCTAACCAGAAGAGCTGATAATGAATTTAAGAAGCCAGGATATATTTACATGAATAACAATGTGAGGTCCTACATGCTATTTTGCTCCCTCCCCCCCCAAAAAAACTCCTCTGATATTCAGAGGAAGATTGATGACTAAGGTCAGAGGCAATCAACGAAACTTCAATGGTGTGTATGGCAGAACTTGAAATAGATTTCGTAGAAGAGGTAGGCTTAAAATGAAAGACCTACACAATGTTGGAAGGGCTGCCACAGTAAAGAGTTTCCTGCATGAGGTGTTCAAAGATGGGAAGGAGTAGTCCCGAGGCTTAAATCTAGGGTGGGTAGCAAAAACACTAAATGTTGAGGAACAACGAATGATTCGTTTGATTGGAGTCTATGCAGGAAAACAACGAAAATACAGTTATGGGATAGGAGACATAACGTGAATGCACTTAAATGTCCAACAAATATAAAGAAGACACCTTTTTTGCAATAATATGAAGACATAAAGCATTTGGAGGAAGTGAGTAGAGAGGTGACATAGACAAATAAATCTCACAAGAGTTGGTAAAATAAAACAATGAGGAGTTGATAAGAGAGGTGCAATCAAGATTAGAAGATCTTTTATGAATTAATAGAAGTCTGAATCCTAGGTGGTTACTAAATCTAAAATAACCTTCCCAGCCCATTTCTCCATATTTTTTATCAGTATCTGAAAATATTCAATTAACTTATTTGTTAGCA